AAGATCTAGTCATTGCCACCATGAAACTCCTAGCTGTTGCAGCAAGATATCAGGTTGCTTCCTATTTTCTTTGATTTTCTTTTCACAGGCTTTTGAGGTTATTTAATCGCTGTTTGTGCCACGATCTTCTTGAACTGATATAGATACTCCACTTTAACCATACTGAATTTGTTTCATTGTAATATCTTGTTTCTTCAGCCTGCTCTTTTAGTTGCCATATTTGATTCAAACGAAGACTCAGATGCTGGTAACTTAAAACAGTCAGGCAAAGATGCTTCCTCAGCTCCTAATTTGCCTTGTAAATCTCGTGTATTGCACATTATTCTGCAATATGCTGAGAGAGCAACTGATTTTCTTAATAGGTACGTTAAAAGCTGGATATTTTTTCAATCAGTCTTCTAGTTACGCTGAATTTCTAATGAAAGCTTCTAAATAGCTTGGATCCCTGACATATTTATGTTGATGGTCTCCTTTCTCCAGAGACACAGATATATTACTGAGTTTACTTCATTTCCTTAAAACCCTTTGGCAAGAGGCTGGCCAATACGCGAATATGCTGGAACCATTTAGGGTGTCAAAAAGGTTGTGGCAGGAATTTTCCAACATCATATCACAGGTGTCTAAGCTAAAAGATTCGTCAGTTGGAAGTTTAGGCAAGGAAGAAATCTCTAAATTGTTTGTGAAATATCAGTGTCAGTCTTCTGTTTTGGAAATTATGGCCTGCAATATGTTTTTGAACAAGAAGCTGTTGTTTGCTGAGTCACTTAAAAAGCCAAGCTTGGAGCCGAAAGAGAAGACAAATAATGCAGTATCTCCACCGAAGTTAACTCCAACAGCTGATTCAGATCCGAAGGATATATTTTCAAAATGGTGTGACGTATCTGTTTTAGATAGCCTTATCCAGTCAGTTTCTTCTTTAGATGGTGAAAGCGAAATAAACTTCCAAGCAAAGGTTCATCTTCTGTCTGGCATATATCCTTTTACTTATTAGAGCCCATGATGATTTTTATCACTTTTCACCGTTTAGATAGGTGCTCCATCTTTGACAAACACAGTTATTATAAGTTTTGAATGTTGCTCATTTTCTTCATTGATAGGTTGCTGCCGTTTTACTTATTGTGCATTTGATTGTGAAACTGGAAACATCTGGCCCAGGGTCATTGTCTATGGCTTTAGTTGGGAAGATCAAACTCATATCAGAAATGGTATGTTCTTCTCGTTTGACTTGATCTATATCTTTGGTCCCTTCGACGTACATTTCAAGGCCTTGTCCTATCTGATTCTGTCTGTTTAATAATCTGCTGACAGCTTTGTGCCCAACCTGCTTTTTCTGAGTTATTGGCAGAATATTCAAAACTTGGTTATAGGTAAGACCTTTGTTTCTTACGTTTTTACTAAACTTTTCCAGTATGTCTTTGCTTTTGTCCAAATCCAGTGACGCATTTATCTTTATAAATCTACGGGGGATGGCTTCTCCTTCTATCTTTAGTCATTTATTCTCCTGTTTTTCAAAGAGTATCATCTCATCACGTTAATTGCTTATAATCTGTTGGTTTCTATTGCTAGTGGAGGGAAGGAGTTGATGCTGTTGATTCTCAACGATTTATGCTGTCATCTACAAGGGAAACTTGAGGGTCGTGATATCCCAACTGGTCCATTCAGACAGCTTTTCCAGTTTCTAGTTGAGTCGAGTTTTTGGGAGAAATACAAACAGAAAACTGATAAGGAGATAAATATGGCTTTGGGGGACAATAGTTTGTTTGACACTCGGCATATACAAACAGAATTAGGTATTGATATTTGGGATTTCTCCGAGTGGAAGACATGTAAAACAACGACTGAGGAAATGTTGATTTACATGCAGAGAGCAAACTCGATGGTTTTACTCTCAACTTCGCAGCTCTCCGTTTTGCATGCATTGATATCCGTCTTGATACTTTACGAGGATAATGTAAGTTTCTTTGTTCTACTTAGCTGAGACTTGCTCTTTAATATGACTTGCCCTATATACATTCATGGGACATATTAGTTGATAACTAACCCACACGTACTGTACAGTAGAAATGTTGCATGTCTTATTAACTCATTATTTAGATGCATCTAAATTCTACACCTACACCTTGTGTGCAGTCTCTTGAAAAAAGTGCGGCTGTGGACAGGAAAGTCCCTTCTCGAGTCACTCTTGCAAGTCTTGGTGAAGTGTGCCAAAATTTCTGCAACACGGTTGATTCACTTGCCTCTCTCTGGGATGCACCCAAGATCGTTTTTGATATACTTACAGCACAGGCAGACTTGCTATCCCGTCTTTTGAAATCTGCAAAGAAAAATCTGCCATTATCTATTTGTGCACTTGTCCTGAGAAATGCTGGGCCTGGCCTCAAAGTCCTTGGTAGTTTGAGGCATTCAAATGCTATATTGAAGAAGACAATAAACCTCCTGCTTGAGGTGCTTCTCCTGGTGGTGGGTTTTGGTTCAGACCCAAACCCGAGTGGGACGGGACATATGGTGCCAGCCAAAGATTTTGCCGAAATATCTGATGCGACAATTGGATTATTACCCCTTCTCTGCAACTTCATGGGGAATCCCGAGTACTTGACTCTCTGCCTGACCACAGTAGATTTGATTCTCAGAAATTTTTTGACGCCAGAGACATGGTTCCCTATTATACAGAGTCATCTCCGCTTGCAGCATGTTATTCTACAGCTTCATGATAATAAATCCCCAGCATCCGTTTCAGCAATAATGAAATTTTTGTTAACTATATCTCAAGTTCATGGCGGTGCTCAGATGCTTCTGAATTCTGGATTTTTCTCGACTCTAAGGGCTTTGTTCATTGACTTACCGGATGGAATGTCTACTTTGCTATCTGACAACGGAAAGGTCTCACTGCTAGAAAAGACCGAAAAACCTCAGCATATATGGGGAATTGGTTTGGCTGTGGTTACGGCCATGGTTCATTCTCTAGGATCCGTTTCTGCGGGTTCTGATATTGTGGAGAGTGTCATATCTTACTTTTTCTTAGAGAAAGGTTACATGATCTCATATTATCTTGCTGCGCCGGATTTTCCTTCTGATGATCGTGTCAAAGCGAGACCTCTAGCACAACGGACATGGACATCCCTTACTTATCTGAGAGAAACCGAGCATACCCTCCTTATGATGTGTGCATTAGCAAGCCATTCGAGATCATGGGTTAAAATTATGAGGGAGATGGATTCTCCGTTAAGAGAAATGACTATACATCTCTTGGCCTTTATCAGCAAAGGCGCTCAACGCCTGAGAGAGTCTCAGAGCCAAACATCTCATCTGTTATGCCCTCCAGTAGTGAAAGAAGAGTTTGATTCCTGCAAAAGACCGCCTTTCATCAACAGCAAACACGGATGGTTTGCTCTAGCACCTTTAGTTTGTGTTGGGAAACCCAAGCTTCCTGCTGTATCAATCTCGACTGCTCTAGTTGTTAGGGGACAAACGACAGAACATCCTGGATCTGTTCCTCAATCACACTTTTCAGACTCGGTTGCGGTACAGATTTATAGAGTGGCTTCTCTGTTGTTGAATTTTCTGTGTTTACAAGCAGAAGGTGTTGTTAAAAGGGCAGACGAAGTGGGATATGTCGATCTTGCTCATTTCCCTGAGCTTCCAGAGCTGGAGATTTTGCACGGTCTACAGGTACGATAATAACTTGAGAGAACAAGAAGAGTTATTTACAGTGTATTATTTTTCTTCTCGGTGGCTGATATACTAGAATGTGTATTTTAAAAAATGCAGGACCAGGCCACGGCGATTGTGGCTGAGCTTTGTGATAATTACAGATCAAAAGAGGTTCCTGATGAAGTGAACAAGTTGTGCCTTTTGCTGCTCCAAATGACAGAGATGTCGTTATACTTGGAACTGTGTGTTGTTCAGGTTTGCAGGATCCATCCTGTCTTTGGCCGTGTGGATAACTTCTCCAAAGACTTGAAAAAGCTAGTGAAAGGTAACACAGCTGTTCCTTCCCATTCTTCTCCTAAAAATGTTATTTCTTATGATTTGGCAATTTGCACGAACAATTTAGTTGCAAGAGAAGAAAAAAAGTGAAATTTGTTGGGTAATATTTTTACTTTCTTTCTCTCTTATCAGCTGCAGAAGTGCATGCGTACTTAGAACCGTCAATGGATTCACTAAAGAAAATAGTTGTGTTTCTGTATCCAGAGACGGTTCATTCACAATAACCAAACCCATGAAATCTGGTACGTATGGTTTTTTAGATTCCTTTGGTGATTTTGACTGTGAATGATTGTACCAATGGCTATGTATAACCATATTCTTCTTTTTTTCTTTATAGCCCGAACTTTAAAAAAAATGTTCGAGAGACATCATCACATGGTGTCCACTCCTTTTGGGCCGCTCTTGCTTTCTCATTTGATTAGCTCAAGAAATTCTTTTCATTGGTTCTCTCTCACTCTAGACCGCAGAAAGTGCACTCGAGAATAATTCACAATTTATTTCTAGATCCTTCTCATTTTCGAATTCTCTGTAACTCTTGGTCACGCTTGCTTACTATAAAATCCAAGAAATGTGTGATTCACGTTGACTCATGTATACAATCAAAACTTACGTTTTCCAATATTTGATTTGTATGCAGAGAAAATTATTAATTTTGTGGTGCAAACTTTAGAAACGTTTCTGATTCTAAAGACACGTGTGACACGTTTGGGAGCGGCAGGTCGAGGGGCATATGCCAAGTCTGAGAGATACTCATCCCACTTTACTAACCCCTACTTAACCGGTGGTCAAACTCTAACTTAACCACGGTTAAATTTCCCCAAAAACCGTTACGATCTTTCCACGTGTATGAATCTCGTGACGACGCTCTATTTACCCTCAGAGATTCGCCGCTTCCTCCTCTCCTCTATAAAACCTCACCGCTAAAATCCTTCTCTTTCATCATCATCGACAACAACAACACAGATCCAAACAAAAATATCTCAGTCTTCTTCTTCCTTCGATCTCTAACAAGAATGGCGTTTCCTAAGGTCTTCTTCGAGATGACCATCGGTGGCGAACCGGCGGGAAGGATCGTGATGGAGTTGTACACCGACAAGACTCCGAAGACGGCGGATAATTTCAGAGCTCTCTGTACCGGTGAGAAAGGAGTCGGACGTAGCGGCAAGCCTCTTCACTTCAAGGGATCTTCGTTTCACCGTGTGATTCCCAATTTCATGTGCCAGGGAGGAGATTTCACCAAAGGAAACGGTACAGGAGGTGAGTCGATCTACGGTGATAAATTCGAGGACGAGAATTTCGAGAGGAAGCATACCGGTCCTGGGATCTTGTCGATGGCTAACGCTGGTGCTAACACGAACGGATCTCAGTTCTTCATCTGCACTGTGAAAACCGATTGGCTTGATGGTAAGCATGTGGTGTTTGGCCAGGTCGTTGAAGGTTTGGATGTTGTGAAGGCGATCGAGAAGGTTGGATCGTCGTCTGGTAAGCCATCGAAGCCGGTGGTTATCGCGGATTGTGGTCAGCTCTAAGATCGTCTTTTAAAAAATCTAATAATCATCTTTATCCCTCTCCTTAGATCTGTGTCTGTGCTCTGCTTTTGCGTTTTGTTGTTTTCTTCTTCTTCTTTTGGAGTGTCCTTTAGTTTGTAGCTGCTGTGTAAGCTTTGGTGTTGTTCACTCATGCCAGTCTTTTGGATTGATCTATGAGAGAACAGAGATAAGACCAAAACTTGGGAGTTTGTTAGACCTAATTAACTATTATTATCTACCATAAATAATATGAGCTTTGGTTTTTTACCCACTCTAATTATCTAATTTTTGAGTAATCGAACGTCTAAATGCCAAAAAAATCTGACTTTACGTTACTAATATCATTGTTGTTAATTCCATTTTCCTAGTGAGTACAAACAAAAGCAAAAAACCTTTTTGATGATAGTTGCGATCTCTCTACTAGGCCAAACCGATCTTCATCCACAGACATAATTATGTAATGGAA